TCTTTGTTTGAGTTGTATCCATATTCATGTGTCTTCTCATGTGCAACCGTTAAACAAAGAAATGATACTCTAGGGAATGACACATGGTCTTGAGAATAAGATTCTTTGTTTTAGTGGTATCCATATTCATGTGTCTTCTCATGTACAACCATTAAACAAAGAAATGATACTCTAGGGAATGACACATTCTCTTGAGAATAAGATTCTTTGTTTTAGTGGTATCTATATTCATGTGTCTTCTCATGTGCAACCGTTAAACAAAGAAATGATACTCTAGAGAATAACACGTGGTCTAAAATGGGAAAACATTACGCTCACGACGAGTTCTATTCTAGGTGGCTTGGATTGATCTTATCAATAACTATATTACATCAATTATTTTCTTTAAATGTTACTTTTGGTTGCTTTTTTTTTCTCTTAATTTGAAAATCATGACTTCATCATTTTATGATTATATTTTTTACCATTATTTTAACCTTGTTCTTTATCATAGTTTAGTAAGCGAGCTTTAAAGTTTGGATCTTAAATATTTAATAAATAATGATTCAGTTTACTATAGGATATGAAATTCAACGAAACGAAGTTCTTAAGGACCTTCGCGAGTGAATCTTCCAAGTTACTTTTTTTTCATATTTTCATCGAGGAAAGATATTCGTAACTAGTATAAGAGGGCCAAAAACATTTTATTGTTAATAGTTAATAGAAGGATATTCGCTAGTAATTTAATATCAGAAATTTTTCTGAGTTCCCTAGTGATAACTAGGGATGACAAATAGACCTCCTCGGCTCTGACGTAATGTTGTCCCATTTCAGACCACGTGTCACTCCCTAGAGTATCATTTCTTTATTTAAGGTTTGCGCTCGGTTGCACATGAGAAGACACATAAATATGGATACAGCTCAAACAAAGAATATTATTCTCAAGGGAATGACACGTGGTCTGAAATGGGACAACATTACGCTCGGTTGCTCCAGAGCCGAGGAGGTCTATTCATCAGTGTACTTTAAAAATTAATTGAGGACATAACGTTTAGTTCAAAAATGCGACATTTTAAATCTAAGAACAAAAACCCTGTGTTTTTTTTTACTGTGAACTGATCGTTCTAATAAAAACAATTTAGAAAGCTAAGCAACTGGTGTGATTTTGTAATTTGGAAGTAAAAAAATGCATGACCCCTACCCAATCCGAATCTTTTAACTTGAGCCCCTTTTAAAACAGGAAAAATTTAGAATTAAATTATCAATTCAGCTAATTGCCCTATTTCACTATGACGTCACATCAAAACAATCTATTGTTTAAACGCAAAGGATCATGGTCATCGGAGGGGGTCAAATCGACGCAAATTCACCGAAAATTGTTCTAAAACCTGTATCAATCCATGAAGAGAAGTAGAATAGCCAGCAAACACTCAGAATATTTTTTAGTACATCTTAACACATATTATATCTGAAAACCAGGCCCTTTTAGATTAAACTGTTTCGCTAGGAGCAAATTTTGTTGAATTTTTTATTGGATTGGCGATTCTATCCCCCACATAAACGAGCAGTGACGTCATAGTGAAATAGGGCAATTATTTTTGGGGTGACCCCCTTTAATGCCATATTTTACGTGCTTCCCAATTCCCATTAGCCACCCCCCCCCCCCACCACCGTAAAAAATGAACGGTCTCTACATGTTTACTCCCAGTAGTTGTTATGGTATAAATCTACTGACTTGAAATGTTGTCTTTTCATGTGGATCATGCAGCTTGGCCGTGTATCAATCACTGGAAGGGGACTGGACCTCGATCATTCTGCTCATGCGTCGATCATCTGTTGACCTGTAATCACAGCAAATACACACTGACTATCGTGATAAAGGGAAGCAAATATGGTGTAGTAGTTAAATGTCCAAATTTCGCTACTGTAAGTCATACAGGTCGGGTCGCCGTTCGGGTCGCAGATCGGGTAGCGGGTTCAATTCTTGAGGACGCCATTTGTCAAATGGGTTTATTCAAGAAAGCATAAATAAGAGAGGGAAACTCCTTAATAACGCGCGCGCCATGTAAATTCCCTCGCACTCGCGCGCTCTTGCCGTTTATTGTTTTGGCCACTAAAAACGAAACGGAAAGTCCGCGCGCGCGCGCGAGTCGATGACGCACGGGAGTAGGGTAAGGCGAAATTTAAACTGCATCCGATTACTAAAAATAGACCAACCGGGAATTTACATGGCGAGCGCGTTATCTATCATCCGCCATCTTTGTTTACTTACTACAAAAATCTATTTTTTCATGTGTTACTGATTTAAACTTTTCCTAAAATGTTCATATAACCTAGATTTTTAGGAGTTTTTTTCGAATGAGCTATTAAAAAATAGAGTCCCGTGCAAAATTTGAGGGTTTTGCCCTGTTGAAGCTCAAAACGCGTATGGTTCTTCAATAAAATCTTGTAGAGTTTTCAGCGGKTTTTGAGCGCGCGCACGTCGTGGGTTCAAATCGAACGTTCAAAAGTAGGCAGCCACCTTAAGAAGTTTTCCTCTCTTATTTATGTTCTCTTGGTTTATTTGATGTGTTGCTTTTGGCACAAGAAATTTTTTCCAGGTTGAGAGGAAACCCTTGAAGCGCAAGACCTTTTACCCACACATACAGCGGGTCAAGGGATGGCGTAACTTGGTGAACGCCGGTGAGCTGAATTCAGCAGTACAAATGGCGCTCCAATCGACTCATTACAAATTGCTACCAAGAGCGAAATGGCTTTTATTTATTTTCTACAACCATGACATTGGCGCGCGCGTATGAACCTCTTTACCTTGGGCCTAACGTTTTCCCATTTCAGACCACGTGTCATTCTCTTGAGAATAAGATTCTTTGTTTGAGTTGTATTCATATTTATGTGTCGTCTCATGCACAACAGTTAAACAAAGAAATTATACTCTAGGGAATGACTAGAGAATAAGATTCTTTGTTTGAGTCGTATCCATATTCATGTGTCTTCTCATGTGCAACCGTTAAACAAAGAAATGATACTCTAGGGAATGACACATTCTCTTGAGAATAAGATTCTTTGTTTGAGTTGTATTCATATTCATGTGTCTTCTCATGTGCAACCGTTAAACAAAGGAATGATACTCTAGGGAATGACACATGGTCTGAAATGGGAAAATATCATGCACAAGGTAAAGAGCTCTGCTGATGAAACGAGTAATGGTTATGTTCCAACATTGATCACAATAATGTTGCGAACACGATAAGTTGCTGCGAACATTATCGCAATTTCAACGAGCTACAAGCATAACTTTCATACCATGTAGTAAGGTAGACTTTGCCATCGATATCTGTCTGATCTGTGACGTCATGCCAAGTTTTCCCGCCATTTTTGGAGTACTTGACTGGAAGGCCTGGCAGAGCAGTTCTCACTTTTATTCTTCTACCTTCGAATCTGGTGTGAAATTCAAGTTAAGAAAATAGAACTTAAACGCGAATTTAAAAAGTTACTTTCTTCAGTCAGAAATGAAAGGGTTATATAATTTGTCTTTTTTAGGAGTATGATTTAAGGATATAGATTGTATCGTGCATGCATTTATAGTGCTATAGGCCCCTTGCAGTACGTCGGAATGCAGGTCAATTTGGAGGATATAACAATAGGTTTCCAATTCTCAGGAGATTCAAATTCTTTTCTTTTCTCCTCCAAATTGATCTGCTTTGATTTCACGTGCGGGGGGTCTATAAGTCTTTCTGAGACGTCCAGAAAAAGAGAAACGAGTATTACTCGCGCTGAATCATAACGCTGTTTAAGGAGACACCATTTTTCCTTTTACAGATTTTTGTTTATGAATCGAGTCACCATTACTTTGGTATTCGGCCTGTTTTTCAAAATGTTTTCTCAAGCTTTCCACCATATTAAAAAAAAATCGCGTCCCATAAAACAGCTCCTGATTTAGTAGGCGTCCTCATTGTTACCATTTTTGCGTCGCAACCTTGGAAAGGCCAATATCACTGCAACAGACCACTTTTCTAATTCTTTTTTCAATTTCCCCCCCATTAGTTTCTTTTGTTAGGTAAACCAATATGGCCGCCATCTCTATTGTCAGTTGAATTTCTAGGGACTGAGTGAAAACGCTTTACATAGTTCTTTTAATTAGTACTTCTAAATAGTTTAAAAGCTAATTGAGAAACCTTGCCCCAGGGAGTGGTAGACGGTACTTTATGCCCAGTTTATCGAGTCTTGGAAGTTCATGTTTTACAATAAAATGAGAAAACTTTTCCCATTCTGTTTCCATTTTTTCGTTTCGTTCTTTCATGTCCCGGATATCTTCCCAAGATGCTTTATGCCATGCTCGTTCTGCGAGTGACAGCAGACGTGGAAATATCATGAAGTCCATTTGGTCTGGGGTTCGAACAATCTCGGTCCACAGGGCGGCAGACATACCTGGAAACGAGTGGAAAGCTTCCCATAAGAATGGTTATCGTACGAGTGGGAAACGTATACGGTACTGACTTACAGCACGTACACGGTACGACATGCCGTAACATTGAAATGGCTTCCCATAAGAATGGTTATCGTATGAGTGGGAAACATA